TTTCTATGCGATCAAGTTACACGGACCGAGCTTGCTTGGGCCGCTTAGACAACGGTTCTCAATCACTGGCGGACTGTACGTTGACATAAGACTGTCAGGCGAACGTTAAATACACATTGGAACTGAGTCGATAAACTCATGTGGCCCGCGGTGACCTTATAAAGTTACACGCACAATTCAACTGCCGAAGTTTGAGTAAACTTCAAGTTCTCCAATCGAGTCAGACCATGACGACTGAAGTTGCTGTATAGACAACAATCCAAACGGAATTTAGCGAACTCATTTGAATATAACGTCGTTGTCCCGGTCCTTCCACGGACTTGACATCTTGACATCTAAAAATGAGACTACCGGGCACTTTGTTTAAATAAAATAAAAGAATAGCTCATATTAATCATTCAATTGGATTGTTTTCTGACAGCTCTTCAATTGTCCCTCGGCACTCCCCCACTGAATGGTCCTGTAGCTTATTGTTTTTTTTTCACGGCCACGTACACCGTGACTGTGGTGATAAAGCGAAACATCGCTGCCCGTCATCTTAAACGCCGCAGTCACCTATTAGCCACCCAACATTGATCCAGTGAAATTTTAATTTAACAGTTATTAAGAAAAAACTGTCTTGGGAATAAAACAACCTTGTTTAGGAACACAATACATTTTCTCTCTTAAAATCACCCTAATTGGCCAAAACCGGCGATAGGGTAATAAATAACTTTGTCAATGTTTCCGTGGAAATTGTATTATCTCGCAACCTTCGTGTTGGCAACATCTTCTGCTATCTAACAACGGTGTGTTGCTGGTACATGTACTAGTCTCCGCGTATTATTTCTAGACTACAAGTATATCATCATGAGAGGGGGCGGGGGATAGCTGGTACAGATTACAGGAAATACGAACGGCATTTTACGTTTTTACAGGAAATAAAATGAAAGTTCCATTTACAGTAAAAAATAGGTTTTTACACTTTACAGGTAAAGCAAATTCTTAATTACATTTTACATTTTTATAATATTTTTGATAATTTGCGTTTAAGAAACAAAATTGGAAATTGCGTTCGAATTACGACATTCATAATGTGGGAAATGTTTTATACGCTTACAAAAAATAGTATCTTTGTACAAATTACGGACGAATAAAATAGGTGATTACATTTTACACCTTGCCCATGTCTACAAATGTACGTTTTGTATTTATTTAAATTACATTACGAAAATAAAAACAATTGACTACAGCTCACGAAAATACCTCTTGCCGACCCTCCATCATGATAAAATGGTCCTTTCAGGAATTCAGTTACCTTACTCGTAAACATGATAATAAGTGTTCACGAAAGTTTGGTTTAAAACAATTACACGCCATTACGTCATGGAAGATTTAGAACAATTTTGTAGTTTCTACAAAAAACGATATCTTTATGAATGGCTGTGACCATGGAGCGACTAACAGTTATCTAACTGTTCGTTGTCTCCAACGGTTGTCAGAATTAATGAATGCGTGTGATGTGAGCTGCTATCATTTTTTTTTCATTTATGCACAAGATTCGTCCGATTTTTCTCGTTTCCATGATACGAGCTAGTAGTACTAGTAGTTGTGTCGTAACACGGTCTTCTCTAACCGAGTTACGCAAACCTCATTCAAGTTGAGACCACTAATGGTCTGAGCGCCAACAAGCAGACACAGGACGGTCACAGAACTAATCAGATTACGTCATTAGAAAGTATCGTTAACCCTTCGAGCGCCAAAGTCAACTTTTGTCACCATTCTAAAAATTTAAGCCCATAATTTTTTTTTCTTCAAATTTCTCTTACATTTTGATCAAGAATTGTAGCAAGTAGAATATTATGTCTATTTGGTCCAAAATAATCGAAGAAATTGACGAAAAATGTATAAAAACAGGCAAAATGTTGCACCAAGGTTTTGGTGGAAAAAAATGATAGCGTTCAAAGGGTTAAAGCGCGGTGGTCGTCGTGCAGCGCGTGTTCGAATTTCATGTAAATAAACAATGTATTTTACACGCGTTGTATACGTCGCTATGAGTCCCATATGAACAGGACGCGGCACGACGACTGCCGTCTTTTAAACTCTACATTTTGTTTGAGACAGAGTTTGATAGCTGCAGTGAACTAGAAAATTCGGCATATCCTGCTGCAAAAGCGTCCCACTCCTAGATTTAATTATTGCAACATACTTTAGAATGGAATAACGCAATTATGGTATGTCGAAAACGTGTGAATAACGCGACCTTAGTTAACAACCCACGCTTAAAATGCGTCAAAACAAAGACCCATTCGTTTTAGAAGTTAATCAGCGATTAATTGAAAATGACGAAAAATGTGTAATTCGCAGATTCCTAACATTCCGGAATTTGAATGAAGGATAGGATAGGACTATTGTTTTACTTGCGGTGTGTATAACCACGTTCACACTATCATTGTGAATGTCTCCCGTATTGCGGCCTTAAAGCCCGCATTACATTGCTTATGTCGGAAACCTTTGTCCATCTCCTGTGAGGTACACTTCCATTAAACGGGCATTCGGCAGCGGGTCGCCAAATGGCTTGAATCCGTAAAAGTGGCTCACAATAGCACTTTTTCAGTCACAGTTTGAAAAGGGGTTTACATTCAGCGTCTATAATCATTTTAAAATAACTTCTGAAAATCAACACAAAACGTTCTTTTCAGCGGAGGAAAAAAACAAAAAGCGTTCTTCAACTTTAAAAAATCGAAAACGGTTCGTATAATACAATGAATACAATACAAGATAGCAAGGAATCTGTAATCCCGTGTAAATGTTCAACAAAATTGGGTAAATTGTGTAATCATTTTCGCTGTTCCGAAAACGTAATGACGGGCGTGCTGTAGAATATCGTCAGTGTTGCACCACCTTGCGACCATTGCCCCAGAGACGAGGCTTATCATCGGGTTTTAGAAGTTTCACGAGAAAGAGAGAGAGAGGGGGGGGTACATACGACCGAAAGCATGATACATAAAGCATTACATTCCAGATCGTATAGTCATAGTCCATGTCATAAATACTTGTATACGAATTAGTCATGTGTTGGTAGGCCTAGAAATATTCAGTGAGGGCTGGTAGATATTTTGGTGGTTTTCATACTTTACAAACTATTTAACTCATTCGAATACTCGTCGATAAGTTCCCGTCTATGGTTAAGGTACGCACCACTACAATGACGTAATTGCTGCGTTACATTGTGGGATATGTGTGTATGCTTAGCGATGTACTCTCTAAATCTGCCACTTTCGCGCTTTTGGTTTAATATTGTGTGTTTTTGAAACAAAAAAGGATTAAGAATTATTAAGTACCTATCACTTAACTTTTTGATATGTATTATATCATAAAAGTAAAATTATCATAAAATTCATTCTGTAGAAAACCTTGCAAACCCGGTAAGCATCATCACTGCTATAGATTTTGTCAAGTTGAAATTGAATTTCTTAAAATAAAATGGTCTGATTAAAACAATGAAAATAATGTTCGTTTCGCAATTAGACACCACACCCTTGTTTCTGTCAAGTGCAGGCAAGCTTTAGTGCTCCAGAATTTCTTTGCAAACCAACTGATTTTACCATTTCCATGGTAATCACAATAATCCTGTGGTAGGTGTTTGGATACGATAGAAACATGGGAATGTGACATTAATTCAAAGTACATGTACCATAAGAACACTACTATAAACATTTTTATTTTCCATGATTTTTTTTTGATTTGACGCCGATCGCTGTGACCCGAGTGAAATTTTATCTCGTTTCTTGTGTAATTATAATGACTTCAACAGTACCAGTAGTCGTGTATCCTAGTATTTTCAGGGAGGGTAGGGATATGGGGGAGGGGGTGGATGTTGGACACAGCAACTACAAGTCTAGCATATACATGGAGCAAACACATCTTTAAAATCTAATTTTTATTTAAAATGACTGAAAATAGGTATAAAATATTCTTCTCTTTGAGAGAACATTTACACCACGAATAGCAAATATTTACATCATCAATGACATCATCACTTTTGTGATTTTTTTTCCTGAATATATACAAATAAATGTTTTCAAACCTTTTAGCAAAAAAAAAAAAAATTTAAAAGAAATTTACAATTCCTCTTTATCACAAAAATTAACTGAATTTCTGTTAAGGCTGAAAGACAAATATTTACAAAAAACACCACTGTATAGAAATATATAGTGTCATAACACAATAGTGTCCCAGGGCAGGAATCGTTGATCCTAATACAGAATGTTGAAATACATAAATAAATCTCTCTCGGTGCCTTTTTTGGATCCTCAAACCAAACTTACTTGGCTCCCAGCAGTCGTCCAGTACTAAAGGCAGCCATATTACCCACAAATCCTAACAAAAACTTTATAAAATAAATTTATTTTCATGACTTTCTTCAATATTTAGCCTTAAATGTAATGTGTCTACAAATATATCACTAAAGACAGCCTTAATTCCCATAATGCATTGTCATAGCAACTTGTTCTCAGAAGTTTGTACAGGAAAGAGTTCAGTCCTATCAATGCGACTTGAAATGATTATTTTTGTTTGTACAATGAAAAACTAAATCTCAGTTATTGTCAACAAATCCATTACCATGGTTTCAGTCAAAGTAAACTTTCAACTCTGGTCATGGAACTGATCAGACTCTTGATTATACACCACCAAATGAAGCAGTCATCACAGTACTGCTACCATTGAAAATCTGGAATGATTTTGTCATGTTGTAAAAGGTTCCTTGTAATCTCACCTAAATAATCACATTACCAATGGCAGGTTTATTAAAATTGAACAGAAACACCCAATTAGCATATTTCTACTCTATTCAGTTATAACCAATCAAGAGACTTGTTGACTTCTCACATTAACCAATCAGCACATTTCTAGTCAGTTATGTACATAATAGAACGAAAAACTTGAGGACTTCTGAGTAGCATGAACACCCCCACCTCCCTCCACGCCCCCCCCAAAAATTGTCAATTTCCCTCGATCTAAATAAAGTGTAAATTTTATTTACATGTAACAATGATTTTACAGTTTTAAACACAAAATTTTATATTGTCTTGGAAAGGCAGAATATTAGTGTCATTCACAGGTGTTTTTTAATCAATAATGTGTTTTTATGATTTTTAAAATATGTGAATATCTGGATTATACTAGTCTTATGAGGAATGTAGTTTTTTGAAAATAGTTGACAAATGCAATCACATGACATGGATTTATGGACCCTCTAACATAATATGAATTTTGCAATGTGAACCCCCTATGATACTGAGAATTCTGCATTGAAAATCAAGAATGGTTCTAAAGCCATAAGGTACAGACATGTTTGTCCTATTTTTGGATACCTCAACCAACCAAAATATTTGTATGCAAAATAGTCTGAGCTGCAAACTCACACTGAACTTGTATTTAGCATAGATCAAAACAAGCAAACATCACACAATATGTGTTGTTATTAACTGAACTGAACTTAAGTTAACAATGGGGTGAAACGGTCAACTGCAAACCGCCTCAATTCGGATCACCTGGAAATGTTTGTTCATGCAAGTTTAGTCAGATTTGCTTGTCATGTTTAGTGTGATCAGTTTATCAATTCATTTCACCTGAAACTGTCCTCTTTTCACATCTGTAAATCTCAACCAATGAGATGTGCAAGATGAATCACATGATCTCATTTGCATACACAACCTGTATAGCTAAGCCAATGAGATACACAATATGAAACACATGATCTCATTTGCATACAAGACCTGTAAAGCTAAGCCAATGAGATGTACTGAATTATCATGCGATTCATTTGCATACATATCCTGTAAATTCAAGCCAATTAAATATGTATGATCATGTGATCTCATTTGCATACATAATCTGTCTTACGAGACCTTAAAAGGCTATTCATCCTGGTATATTTCAATTAAAATTTCGTCTAAAAAATGAATTATTAATTATCTTTTTTTAAAGAAAATTGAATCCCTGAAAATACCACGATGTTGACCTTTGACCTTTTATTGGTTGCACAAATCTAAAATTCTAAATGATGTAATGTAGACTATAAAAGTAAAATCTGTAATATATCGATAAAAATTTGCATAAATTATCAAATCTGGCTGCACTATAAATGCTTTAAAAGAAAAAGAAAAAGCGTTGAAAAAATAATTGTAACTGGGCTTGAAAAAACTTTTTGTTGTCCTGCGCTGACAAGCCTCGAAACTAACGAGATCTGTACTTGATCTGTGTAACGGTCCTCTGGAGTATTTGATTCGTAAATGCAACGAATAATACTATCATTGTCCTCAAGCGATGGAACGTACGTTAAAAAACTATGTGTCGTCCACGTGCCATTTTCGCTTTTTACCACAGTGTTCCTAATACTTCTATGGATTTTCTGATTGTCTATGTACCACGCAATCGGCGATGCTGGCTTACTGTCGTAGACACAACACTCAAGCAGAATCTCTCCCATCGAGTTGACTCCCACCTGTTCGTTATGACCACGGTCGATGATTTCAACATGTGATGGTGGTTCTGTTGATTGAATAAAACAAGAAATATTTAATTATTTTATAGATTAAACTAGTTCTGCATGGCATAATATGATATAGATTACAAGCTGCAAAGATCATTCTTGATTCGATGATTTATTGGGGGTTTATGGGTTAATACTCAACATATTTATAAGTCTGATGAATATACTGCAAAACATGTTTAAATAGCTGCATGCCATTTTAGCGAATCTAACTCCATGCATGAATTAACTGAATCTTAATTTAGCTAAAGTGCCAATCTAACAATCACATAGTAAGAATATTTTAAATTAGTGACATCTTGAATTAGCGAAATTACAGATTAGCGAAATTACAGATTAGCTAAATTAGCTAAACTAAAATGCTCGCTACAAAGGCATGTTTTACAGTAAAGTGATTTGTGAAAAAAGCACAGACTTAGCACATCTGAACTGCTCCTGATCGTTTTAGCTCCCAATTGAGTGTTTCAAAATGTTTGGATTTCATAATACTAAGGAACACTTGAAAAGCCGAGAAAACCATTGCATATTACACACAATTTTTATATATTCATACCATTGTAAATTTCACATCAAAGTTCCAAGAGCAGAGTTATACAGTAGATTACAGAGTGAAGTATAATTTCAGGAGAGACAAACTTTTAAGATTTTTATGTATTATGAGGTGGTCCTCGAGTATAAGCCCCCCCCTAATTTTTCCGATTTTACATGTTCAGGCCCCTGGACTTATACTCAGGAAAGTACGGTACATGAATTACAAAATTTAGTGAAAATTGCACAGCAACGACTTTCACAAAATTTCTAGTAACCCAAATTTTAATACTGTAGTTTATAGTAATTATAACAATGCTTGTGATATTGGATAGTTGTTACGGTTCAATAACGCTGTGAAGTACAGCATTTGAATTTAGAATAATGCATCGCACATACATCAATAAAATGCATTTATTTTATAATTAATCATTAAAATACGACTTTAAATATGACCATTTGTTTTTTAAATGTTTTTGTGCTAGGTAGTAACATTAGCATTTCCAGACTTTGAAGTCACTTGTCTCCCATGTCATATTTTTATCGTAATTAGTATTAACACATTGCCTCCTGACGCCATTTCGAAGGCTTTTAGCAGATAATCTGTTAATTGCAAATACACATGCAAATGAAACTCCCAAACCTACAATATAGTGTGCTTGAAAATAAAAAAAAAAATACTTGAATTTAAACTAAGTCAGTTAGCTGTGAGAATCACACACGCTAACTACCGGTACTGTATCACTATCCAGACCCCTGGTGTTTACAATAGTGCATGCGCTACTAATAGGGAAAATGGTATTACCGTAAAATCTGTATTAGAAACCGCATTCCTAATAGAAGCCACACCCATTCGTTTGGAACAATTGAGATCCAAAAAATCACCATTTCTCATATGTGTAGATGCTCTAATAGAAGCCGCATCCCCTCTGTTGCATTGTATCATTTTAATAGAAGATTTACAGTATATCCTTGAATCTCTAATAATTTATACCAGCACAGTACGGCCGCTAAGTGACCATGATACCTGGTTACATAGCAACGGCTGATATACTTTGCATGCATAATAAATGACTTATTATTAATTATGACCTCAGTGCATATCTAAAGTGATTAATTCTGGTAGCAGGTTTTAATATTTTACTTGTATATGATTTTATCCATCCCACTTGTGAGATTCAATTATTCACTGTGCAATGACCTTTAGCTCCTACCAAGTTTTTTGCACAAACCTTCCAGACACCAAGGCCAAACTAAACTTCCTAAAAATAAATCGCAATGTTTTCTAGACTTTTTTTCTGAAAATTGTAATAAAGACTTTTTGGCAACTGGTAATTATTATATATTTAATTCAAAATTAAAGAAATTACAGGAAAATGTATAAGAATTGTCAAAAATTGCAATATTTCACCTGTTTTTATCTATTTTTCTATTTTTTTGTTGATAATTTTGGACCAAATGAACATAACTTCCTAGTAGGTACAAGTCTTGATCGAAATTTCTGAAAAAACTTTTGAAAAATTATGGAAAAAAACTCATGCAAGTTTAAAATTTGTGATCTGTAGTTCAAGTGACATCACCATGTTGCTTGTTGCAACTTTAATACAACCCTTTTTTGTCTCATTCATATACTGTAGAATACTTTCTTTTCGCTGAAGGAATAATTCAGTGAAAATAAAATCCAGTGAATATACCTTTTTTCCCATAGTTCACATTCAACTCGTCTAAAATCAGTGAAAATAAATTCCATACAAAACACACAAAAAGTCTTTTCAGCAAAAATTAATTCCAGCTAAAATAAAGTATTCTACAGTACCCAGCAAGACAAGCCAGCAATGCCACAAACAGTTTTAACAGGTGCAGGTATGCTTAGCAAACGGAGAAGAGCCAGATTACCTTTTTTAATTACACAGTACACACTAGTAGCAGTTGATACCATGAGTGTAAATCACTCCTAGCCATTAAAGTAACATTGATAATGGCTTCATTTACAACAATGTCCCCGCAACTGAAACGAACATTGTCTCTGAATACAACAAAAACAACGCAAGGGGATAAACTTGAAGGATACTAAATCGTGAGAGTAGATTGTCCTTCTGTCTTGAGAGCCACCTGACTAATGGCCTGTAAAAGGTAGGCTTATAGATAAGCTTAAGTTCAACGTCATGTCAGTTAGAACTCACACACAGTGGTGTAGACTCACCGACTCAATATGAGACAGATGGTCACTGACCGAACTTTTTTGACCACTGCTACCAATTGTCAGTTCATTATATTTGTACGTTCTGGTACACTGAATGTAACTGTTCGTTCTTCTGATTTACAGTGCTAATCGTACAAATCACAGAAGCCAGATGTGTCCTTCCCTCCCGCATGACGACGGACATCTCTATATTAAAATCGCTATCTAACTTCAAAGAACAAATTTGTGACAACTTTTTCAACATTTCTAACAGAGTCACCCTACACCCAACGTCCAAATCACTTTCTCATGTTTTTCACAAAACAAGAAGGAATCAACTCAAACTTCTTTCATATTCACTGTTTTGTTCCTCTTCATTACACGCAATGAAAACAGTTAAAAATTAAGCGGTTCTTCTTTTGTGTCGATGTCCATCTAAAGGGATTACAAATAACTAACTTTTAGTGTCGCAATTAGGCACTAATATCTCACTTCAATGAGCGTTGAGAAAAGTTCTATCCCTTGAGGGGATGTGCTATTTCATGACTTTTTGTTTGTTTGTTATTGCTGTTGACGAACAAAGTTCCATTTCACATTTTTTGTTTTTCGATAAAGTGAGTAAAATCACCTTCCAACTTAAGACGTGCCTGTCTCCGTAGATTTGGCATCGGTCCAATGGGTATTGCAAGAATTTGTTACTTGGTGCTTATAGGGGCTTGAAGAGAGATGGTTTAAAACTTTTTTTTCGGTCAATAAACAAAAGGCAGTATTGAAAGTAATCAACGGAGCTGATCTGGGAATGGCACAAAATCGAAACCTACACCAACCGTGATGGTTTCTCACGTGTATGCACAACCGCCCCATTTGAATTCAAGCAGGCAACATAAAATGCAACGCATGAAAGTTACTTTTTTTTTGGCAAATTTATATCCATAAATCTTTTAATTTTTTTCTAGCTAGTGTTCAATTTCGAAGGATCCTCTGCTTTGGCATCATAGAGTAGATGAAAATATAGTATCAAATAGAACACAATGTTCGATACCAATTGTGTTCTATCAGGTAGCATGAGAACACTGAAATCAACTCAAATATTTAGTAAGTGTAAAGACACATCATGACTTAAAATCAGGAACAAAACAAAATATAAGAAGAAGAAGGTATCGCTAATTTCTTATTTGCTTGAAAGTATTCTAATTTTAACAATTCAAAATGGCTGCAAAATTTTTTGTTACCATGGAAACACAGGTATAGATAGCTTTGATGATCTGTGAAATATTTCTAGCACCATATAATTTTATCTGTTTTTTCGTACAACGTGGTTAGTACGAGTATAGGCTTTTGTTCTTCCATTTCACAACAAATTAGTCACGTTGCAGTAAAAAATATATAGCCATTTTATTGCTCTCCAAAAACCATTACAAAATTGTAACCTAAATCTGCATAGCAGCCATTTTGATTTGCAGTATATATAGGTGATTGTAAATTATTTTTGACATTATCAACAAGAGTGACTTTATTTAGCTAAAATAAAGCTGGGAATTAATGTTTAGGAAGAACTTCCATCACTATAACAATGCCAAAATGAAACCTTTTTCTCATTCATTAAAAAATTGTAGCTGTACCACACAATACACAACATTTTAGTTTTTAAAGGTAGAATTTTTTTTAAGGTAGAACTTTTTTTTTTTTTTACTTGCCAGTATATTTTAGCGCATATACGGTAGCAGTAGCAATATTTTTTGACAAATTATGTCTAAAATTATTCGTTTCAATTTTAGTCAACAGTATGTGAACTTTCTTGATTCACTGTTAATCTGATTTTTGAGAAAAATGGTAAAATACAAATAACATGCCATTTTAGCAGTGGTTTCGATTGAAAACATGTTTCCTCCTTGAAAATCCATCAAAGAAATTGTAAATTTTTTAAAAATTCGAGACATCAAAAAGTACCTTGTAAGACACGATATATCATTTTTTCACCATATGTCACTGAGCAAAATTTTGAGATAAATCCTTGACACAGGAAACAATGGTAAAATGCCCTAAAACAGAAAATGCATGCTATTTTCACTATATTTATACGTGGTATATCAAATTTGTAAAAATAAAGAACACTTTTTTGTGTTGCATTCCACCTTAAGCCAGTGAGGCATGTACTGTAGGTTTTGGTTTGGTGTCTGTTTCACCCTGCTAATTAGAACTGTATTCAGACAAAATAAAGATGCCCTTGAGGAAACATATCACTTACAAATGAATGCTTCATCATCAATTGGGTGCAAATTTCAATTT